TCGCTTGTCCACGAGTCTTAAAATACACGATTCTCATTTTCTTTTTTTTGCAGCAAATGGATTTATTTGTTGCTGCAATCAGTGCGAATTTAGGTGTTAATTAATTTTAGCAACTACCTTCTGAAAACAGGGCCACGAGCTAGCAATGTGTGGATAAACATGATCATTAAAGTTTCTTTTGATATAATGGTGATATTTTGATGTTTATCATAAATAAACAAAAAAAATTTACAAAACCGTTCGCGTGCCACGTTTGAGCGCATGGCGTGCCAAATTTGGTACGCGTGCCCTGTGTTGTGCACCCCTGGGCCATAATGGACCCATAGTGGCGAGTAAATCCGCTTTCAAAAAAGAGCAAAGTGGAGCGGATAGCCCACACTCTTGACATGGACATTACCACTGGCCAATGTTTTGCCAATTTCTTATTTTGGATCAAATTTTTTCGGTAGATGGCATGAGTGAGCGATAACTGTTATCTTTTTGAAAACATCTTTGAAAGATTATCTGGGGAACTCGCTTGGTACAGGATGTCGACTTTTCACGTTTATTGGACACGAAATTGACCTATCGACCGCTCTGTTATTATGTTGTTGTTGTGAAAACATTGCTCTTCTCTTTAACTGCTGAACCAATTGTCTTGACGTTTTCAGTGGTTAAAGCTTGTTGTTGTTGCTATTAATTCTAAAATAGCTGTGGGCTCCATGAGATAAGTTTTTCAGTTCGAAAAAATGTGATGCGTAGTTCATTCTCAATTTTCTACGAACTGTACGTCAAGTATTGAATTACAGATAAGAATATTACGTGTTCCAAAATGTATGTTACTAATGATTAGTGATTGAGATTTACATTTAAATTTGAATCAGAAAATATAGACAATTGATTTAACTTTAAATGTCCAACCCAGATTCGTGTTAAGTGGCAAATATATAGAATCATGGATATTTTCTTCTAATCTAGAACACAGCATATATCGAGTGAAAGTATATTCAAAATATATCTACAGTGTTCCCAATCTTCCTCCCTCCGTTGACCATTGACGGCTCGTAATCATCAAGTGTGCTTGCTCGTAGGGGCCGAAAATTGAGGGTGCCATCTTGGGTAAAAAGGGGTACATGACTGCACATACAAGCCATTGCATGGCGGAATCAAGGCTGTCAGTGATTCGAATTTTTAGATCTTTTATTAAAAAACAGTAACGGTGTTTTATTCACAAGTCAAGTCATTTGACGAAGCATGCTTTAGTGTGCAGATTGTATTCCACCTTTTAATCTATTTACTCGATTGTTTTACCACCTTTATACTGCCGTCCCATACGGCATTCTCTAAAGATAACCAGTCGGGGTAAAAGTAAAGCGCAAAAACAAACAACGCTAGGAATAAAGACTATTACATAATTGAAATAGTTTTCTTATACAATCCATTTAATCTTATTTACATTTTTAAATATGCCGTTGGGGGTAACAATTACCAGGCCATAGCAATAAATAAGTGTTGTTATGACCATAGATCTAATACCATACCATAGGTCTAGTCCAGTACCATTTTGGTTTAAAAGCTGAAATCAGAGTAAATACAGGGTTACTAGACTTTAAAAAAATTCATGGAAAATAAACGGCGTATCTGAACCTCCCTTTTTCATTTTCGTTCACAGAATTAAATGATTTAATGCACGATTTTAGAGGTTTGGGCATATATAATTATTCCATTATTCCTTTAATCCGCTGATGCAACGAATGCGAATATTTAGTTATTGACATATGTGCATGTGAATATATATAATCATTATCGACGAATCATTCTTGAATCGATCACGAAGGTCAATATGCATGTTTTGTCTGCCTGTCATTTACAGGAAGTAATTGTACTGCAAAATGATCGACATGCGTCAGACTGAATTACAAATCTTAAATAGAAATGTGGCTATTGTTATGTTGCATAATAACCAGAAAACCACGTCAACGGAAACGTAATTTTCCAATTATTACGGACTAACTTCATTTATAAATCGATCACTCGAAGCATGGGAAATGAAAAATTTCATATACTAAAAGTACCGACATTTATATAAACGAAAACAGAATTTGATGTTTCATTGATATACTCGTACATTCAATATATTTGTCTAAAGAACAAATCTTTTCGACTAGTTTATACATAACTTGCGCTTTTCGTGCATAACTGACGCATGAACACTAATAAATTTGGTAGAAATGGCGAGATTACCGACTAACAGTTTTCATAACAAAATAAGTGAAACTTAATTTCATTGAAAATATAGGAGAATAATCAACATGCTTCATTCCAGTAATACAGTAGCAATACACTATTTACGTATAATACGTCAATTTTTTCATTATTTTCGATATATGTTTTGTGTTCGTATTACCAATAGAACTAAAGCCCTTTGTTTGTCGTTTAAAAAATATTACCCATTTGTCACTTTTCAAAAACTAAATTATGCGAATGAATTTTGCTGTCTGACCTGCTCATATGTTTTGATGCACATAAAATAGGTGATTCCCGCCATAGCATTTTACAGTGGCTAACAGATTCATTATTACTTATCGATCTTGATTGTTACTTATCGATATTGATTGGTAAGTATGTTGATAGGTATTTGTTTGTCTGTCTGTTTGTTTGTTTGTCTGTTAGACGCTTTCGTATTTTATGCGATATCTCACGAAAGCGAGGTTGAATCTGCTTCAAATTTTTCATGTGCATTTATCATATCTCGGATCAGAAGCCTATTGCTTTTGGATGAATTATGTCGTATAATTAGCGAGATATTAATTAATTAGTGATGGGACACATGGTGTCGCTATGAAGTAAGAGCGGAGAACAGTTTCTGTTTTGAGGGGCCCCCTAACTTTCGATCGATAAGTCTTCGGTCTCCGACTGATATTCTCGTTTTATAAGTTGTTCAACCCATATTGCTTATTGAACACATACGTCATATTAAAATTAAGTTTTTACGAATACAAATATACAGACATTATGAGTAGATCATATCGTATTCATTTAATCCTTGTTCGTTTAAAGAAAAAAAAACTAACTGAACTTTGTTCTAGCGCACATGTCACCATCCTGATGAAGTTCATGTTTTGGAAGATATATGGATTTACAGAAATCTGTGTTAATATTTTTCATAGCTAATATCTAAGAACATGAATTATTTTATTGAATTATTTGCATTCCGTGGAAATTCAACAATTCGAAATGAATAGTAGTTTCAAGTCAAATAATACAAAAGCATGCGATATGATACTGTGCTCGTGTTAGGTCAAACAGCGTGTTTTGCCTACTAGTATTACAATTATCGATGCAGTTTTAAGAAAATTGGTCACAGGCCTGAAGACGACGTAAACAAAACGACTATCACATTTACCAAACATTCAGACATTAAGTTTTCTAATTAGACTGTGATTACGAAAGTCATCAGAACATGATTTGATGAAGAAGAAATCTATTGTTGAAACGATTTTTTGTAAATATGAATATTCATTCAGTGATTGGAACTCAGAAGTCTAATATAAATATGAAATACAATAGTAGGAATGCAATGAAACAGACGTAGCAGAAGATTTTTCCAAAACTGCTGTCATCAGTCATGAAGTCATCAGAACACAGAACACAATTTGAGGAAGTAATCCATTGTTGAAATAATTTTTCGTAAATTTGAATATTCATTCAGTAATTGGAACTTAAAACTCTAATATATATGATATACAATAGTGGGAATGCAATGAAACAGACGCAGCAGAACGATTTTTTCGAAAATTCTGTATTGAAAAGCTTTAGTAATACATCGGTTTTCATACGAAACGAATGAAAATACAAAACCAATACATTCAAATTTATCGTGTGGTGTTTATAAATTTATCGTTTATAAAATTATACAATTTACAATCTAAATTGGTCATGATAGTGTAAGTTTCTTCCCTTTTCCTTTCCGTGACGCATATTACAGGGAAATCTACTGCATTCTGAATTTGTTCGTAGGATAAATGTTCCATCCACATGAAGTTTGCTACAATTGAAACATTGCATTCAATCCGTATGAGTCGTGCAATGCATGTGAAGCGGACATTTTACAAAAATCACGGAATTGTGAAACAAAACGTTTACTCGTATCATATCAGTCAATCATTGAGAACTTTTTATGTTGAAGTGTTAGAGGTTTGCGTTATTGCTATTAAAAACTCAATAAAGAACTTGAGCTTTCACATTTATATTATGTATTCTAACATAGTCTATATAAGTGTACCTTTAATACATCTGAATACTTGCTAACAGATGCTGAAATAATTACGTCGATAAACGTAAGAGATTCGAATGAAAATACAAAACTAATACTTTTAAATTTATAGTGTGGAGTTTATAAATTTATCGTTTATAAAATCATACAATTTACATACTAAATTGGTCATGATAGTGTTATTTTATTCCCTCTTCATTTCCGTGACGCAAGTAAGGAACATTCTTATTAACTTAAAATGATATCTTAAATAAGATATTTAAATCCCTGTTAATTCTAAACTGAAATAATTCCGTGATCATAACAAAATTTGTGTTTACAACGGTACTGACAAACATGAATTTCTGCAAAATCTATCTTTTTCCCAAGCATTGACGTCAATGCAGGTCTAAGCATATACATCTGAGAACAATAATGGTTTTACATTATATTGCATAAATACAGTTGACAGATAGCAATGACACAAATTTAAAGTTTTATTAAAATACCGCATTTAGATTAGATGGATACGTGAGAAAATTATTTCAATGAAATTGCGTTTAAACAGCAATTTCTCCCATTCAATTTTGATACCACCAGTGTCTCGCGCCCTGTATATGTATGATTACTATTTCTGGCTCTTCCTAGATTTTCGCAAAGATTTCTCCATATCGATGCAAACGAGAGAATTTTTCGCGCTGGCGTGATGCAGTAATCTCTCGTATTTTATACAAATCTCCGTGAGTGATCAAAATAGACCTGACAGAAATTGCATATAAATGCGTGTTGCATCCATCAGTCCTCACTCTTAACGCTGAAATCGACGAAGCCAAGTAAAAGTAAGGACAACTAAGTTTCTAATCCACACGACAACGAGGAAACGCCAACATTTTCAAGGTATGCAAGTTTAATATATATTCTTTGTATTTTAAGTTGTACATAACTACTGCATTTGCTGAATTATTATAGTAATGTACTAGTACATAATTTTTAACAATACGTCTACATTATTATTATTATTACATTATTATAAGTGACAATTATTGACATTCTATTAATCTTCGTGTATCTCTTTATTCAGATGACTAACGGATTAACAATCACCGCCTGCATTGTATGTTTAATCGTATGTGTAACTGCTGATTGCTTCAGAGAAATTGGATGCTCTCGCAAGGGTAAAGAATTTGAAATAGGAAAAAGATGGAGATCAAGAGAACATCAATGTCATAGCTGCAAGTGCGTGGAAGCCAAGAAATATGTGGTAGGTTCCAATATCTTTGAATGGAAAGAACGTACTCTCTTTTTTAGACTTTTTTAGACACTACACTATATTAATATATATAATTTCTGATTCAAATCCTAAACTGGTTTCATTTTATACAGCTGGAATGTCAAGTTGCCATCGAGAAGAAAATTAAAGATTCCGTGAAAAAAAGTAAATTATCGGCGCACTTTGACACTTCGATCCAGTATGCAGAAGATGAAGATGTTAAAATTACGGAAAAAGAAGCAAAAGACAAAAAATGTCCCCCTACCAAAGCACCGACATATAACTGGGCTACCGGTACTTTCGACCCCTTCACATACAAGACAGTATATTATTACTACACAAGAAAAGAATCCAGATGTTGCAGCCGGTTAGTATTTTTTCAGACATTATTTCAGCTTGAGAATAATAACCACCATAGATACCTAACTAATTATCTACTAACATGCCTACTTTTCAAAAAAGGTGAAATCCCATTGTGCGCTTAAACATTACGAATCCGATTTTAGAAATTTCCTCGATATTCACAAGGAGAATAGTATTTTAGGTAGCCCATTAGAGCAAGGTAGCAAGCTATATTGTGTTTCCATTAGTCTCAACAGAGTTACAAATAACACGACTAAATTTTAATGAATGTTTGTTTACGTTACAGTTCCGTTCATTTTACCAACATTCATCCTTCGTGTAAAGTTGTCAAGGTCAACAAATGCAGATCAAAAGTTGTAAAAAAATCGAATCCAAAAGAAAGATGCTTCATGTCGATGTCTTTCAAAGGCTGAGATGCGTTGAATTTCTATTGGTTAAGCAAGAACAGACGTTCTTGATACACTGACCTTTCAGCACAGATATCAAATACAATTATCGGGATGACTCTGCTGCAAGAACTAGTCATGAAATTCACGCGTGTACTATATTTTTACTCCGATTCTGACGGATGCATTTCTTATTTTTATTCGATCTACTGTAATATTTATATTTTACGTTGGTTTTATTCTGTTTGCGTTTTAAAGTTCTTCTAGTTAGATTATAATAGATTTTCTAATCGGAAACTGTAATATCCTCACAATCCTAATATGTAAGATATGACATGATACGATGGAAATATTGTTCCAATTATTGTTTTTCGTTCTTTTTTCTTTATCGGTTTATCATGCATATATGAAATATTATTCAGATTTGTGTCAACAAAATATACATACAACGATTTTATATTTCTGTTGTTAATACTAAACGGCACCTTAAATTGTCAACAAGGCGACAAGGAAATATTCTTATTACTACCAATTTTGAGCTGAAACGTACGTGACCATGCATATCTAACAACAGAATAGGACGCATAAAATTATTTGCAGTAGATAGGTATGTGTTCGGACTCATTTTTACGCGTAAGGCCAACAAGAGACAGAAAGAGGCAAGCGAAGATCTCGGAAGCCAGATCTCGGAAATACTAAATTATTATTTTGAAGTGTTGACGTAGAATGGAAAAATGAAATTATCAAATCAAATAAATTTTATATAGAATTTAAAAATGGAGACCACGACTTCAAATAATTCAAAAAACTGCACACAGTACTACCACGACTCAAGAATCCGACGTGGCCGATTTGGTCTGAAGTTGGTTCTGGTTGGCAAAGAATGAAACGACTATTTACTGGACTTGAAGTATTATGAAAGTTTGCATTGCTGTACGATGTACGTCCTCGAGTACATCTTTTTGTTTTAATTTTATTTTAACTTCATCGATATTCAAAATTACTTCAAAATCACTTCATCAAAATTACTGATTCAAACTATAATGAAACTTCTAAACAAGTATCACTAAATAGCATCAAATTATGAGATAGTTTCAAAATAATCTGATTTATTATGAGATGGGTAAATTACAATACAGTCCCATAATTCATATATTAAATTTCAATACAAGCGAGTCTACATCTACATTTTGACATCTTGTGTTGTAATAATGCACGCTTACACGAAATAATACAATGAACAATGAAAATTTGTCTTAAATCAATATCGAACTTGCAGAACTTGAACTTGCCGCCGTTATGCAGTTTGCTTAGACTGGCAAAATAAGTGGAAAGTGTTTTTTTGGTAGCCGATCGACGAAAATACTTCAGTTTTAAACCGCTAGGTTTGGAGAAAAGGGTTGCTGACCCCTGCTTTACTCCATTCCACGTTTGAATATAACCAATGTATTTGTCATATCTTAGATTTAATAATAAAAATGATCTGTAACATAAAGTCAAGATAGATATGAGAACCATACTAGTCGGGAAACTCATTGCATTAACTACATGCTTCGTTAAATGTGGGGATATTCTATTTCATGTACACATCTTGCAGAGAAAAATATGTCTTTTTGTTATCATTTTGACTCTTAGAGCATTGTTAATTTTAATACAATAAAGTAGCAGCAACTGACTAAGAGCATGCTATAGCGTAAGTAAAGTTTCAAGGCGGATTGTATTTCAGTTGGTTTTACGTTTTTGTGTCACGTTAGCGTTAACGCTAAACATATGGCAGACGTGCGCAGACTTTGTGTCAAGTTTATATTGCCCTTGTGTAACGTGTACACTATGGTATTGTGGAAGTTTTCAAGTCATTAATAACAATCGATGACTTGCGGGGTCGTGGGAAGATCAGCCTATTTTAGTTATATGTATCTTGAACCACTGGATCAGCATCTGACTTCAGCCAGTGGACTCTTTTTCTACAAATGAAGACCGGGGTATCGATATAATGCATGTCGATTTTGGCTATGTTTAAATAGACCCGGATAAGACTTCTATCATGTAAAACTACCAATAATACATTTTGTCGGGCTCCAATTCAATCAGTGTGCGGTGCATCTATCAGCCCCTTTATTGTTTTTGTTGGTATACGATAACTTATCTCAAGGCAAGTAAATGTAATTGTCTACCAGCGAAAAGCCCATGGGCATGATCAATTTTTGGCGTACGCGTTACAAAAATAAAATATAGCTTCTTTAATATAGCTCGTTTAGAAATTTGATTTCGTAACAAACAGACATGTATAATTAAGTTAAACAATGCTATGACTGTTGTAGGAATATCAGGAATACCTTTGTCTACGCGTCAGTGATGATCACGTTGGAAAATATATTTGTATGCTATATTAATAAATAATAATAGCTTAACGGTTTATATAAGTGAATTTCATCATACAGGAATTTATATTTAATTAAAAGAAATCAATTATGCAATTATACATATTCATAGATGCCATCACAAATGAATCTCCCTTGCTTGATAAGAATCGAGAAACCTATTAACAATGCGAATATTACCTAACTTATACTAAATAGCATTAATTCAACGAGATGTCTGAAGTATACAGTTGGAGATTTGCTGTTAATGATGTTTTCAATATTCGAAATTAGTGTTTTATTTCACAAAGTTGAAATTTTATAACGTACGAACTAAAGTTTTTTTTGTCTTTAATGCTTTTATTGTGAAACAAAATGCTAAAAAATGTTCAAAATCATTAGGTCATGGTTCTTACTCTGAATATTATTTAATTCTCATTCAACCCATGATTGTGTACGTTTCAAAATACTGGTTTGATCATGGTCACACTTTCAAAAGTGATTTAAAAATCATGACATTATGTGGTTCAATGCGGTGACATGCGACACTGATCCATGGTTATGTCAAAAATATCAATAAGAAAATAATCTCATTTTAATCATTAATAAGGCGCTTGGTTTTCTTTTTGGCAAATAAAATTTGGGCAATACTGTGCATATATATTTGAGTAATATGTTAATAAAAAATGTCGGTACTTTTAACAAATTTTAATTACCAACTTTATAAGATTTGTCATTTGTCTGCTAAAATTACATTTCTATTCTTTTCTATCATTACCTGCAAAATTTAGTAGGTTTGGTACATTTGTTGATTGAATAATAACATTATTACAGGAATGTGGTGCGTGAGCGGCACCTGATACGATCATGTGGGTGGGTAGGTGCAGCATAATATTTACAAGACCAATCCTACGAAAGATTGAAAATGGGATTAAAATTATATGATCGCTTGGATTAATTACAAATATAGATCACGGATGTATAAAAATACAGTTTTCGACTCTAAATTGTAATCATTCCACTTTGTCGCTACAGATTTAAAATGACGTTTCCTATGTAATTTTTTTTTCTAATTGTTACGATGCCTTGTATTACTTAAGACACTCGTATTATATATATATATAAACAATCTATTTTTGTATTACAAAGTGCACGTGTGTTTATCGTGTGACGTCATCTAGTAAATTCTTACCAAATTATCTTTTTCATCACATGATCATGATGATAACAATGAACGGGCGTTATGCCGTAGTTACAACATAATACCACGGAGAGTGTGTTTTATATTTGCATTGCAAAGAAAACTCCTCGTCGTTACAATTTCGAAACGCTTAACTCAGATTTATTCTAATAAATGTAGTTTAGTAAGGTAATGTATTTCACGATAGAAATTAAAAGGGGATATTTCTTTTAGGCACTAGTAATTTTTTATTACTTTTTTCCTGGAATGGATTCCTGAATTTTTTCCTGAATCATGATTACTCAGGTATAAGTTGCATCATAATTCTAGATAGAAGATTTTGCTCCAAGAGTAGTGCTTAATGATATTAATATTGATTCACGAAATTCGTCCCGAAGTGCTATTGTTTTATAGCTTTTAAACATTACTTCTGACCTAAAGTAAATTTAACTGTCATCGGCCCAAATTAAGCTCAAATTTGTAATTGCCATTGGCCTTAATTTGTTTGAATGTGTTATTATGTAATATAAATATAAACAATGGCAATGTCATACGCTGGGAACACTTCACAAAGTTCTGTAGGTCCAATAAACCCGAACGGTATTTTATTAAATTCATGAAGATGCTATCTATTACCTATAAAACCGGAAGTTTTATTCTTATCAGTGATAAAAGAATATATATACACTATTAAACAATAGCTTTACATTCATTTACAAAGAATCTTACAAATTTTGGTGTAAAAACATTGAACTCGTGAAGAATTTCAAAATTTTTAATGACACCTTATTTTATTTGTGGGTATAGACGCATAATTAGGGTTTTTGTATAGACATGTCAGCAATTTCAAAATTACATTCACAATTGCCTCTTAATCTCCCCAAGAATGCATAATATATATATATTCCAATGTTATATAAATTTGGCGTCAAACCATGCCGCAGAATGCACCCATTTACTGTAATTTATAAACTGAAAAAATTGAATCGCGTTGTCACAGAAACAAAATAGTTCTGTCCAAAATCGTAATTAGTTTTACCTAATGTTTATCTTTAGGTCGCCAGCTGGTGATAACCAATATATAAATTAAGTCAAGGTGAACTAAGATACCGGTTGCAAATTTCATTTGCAATATGCGTTAATGCGCAATGTGCGTTTTTAGAATTATTTGAAATTTATTTTGGTTATCTTATTTGAAGCTAAATTTGATTGTTTATAGGCTATATTGTCAAGAGTATTGTTAATTACTTGACTCATTGCATTGTTCCACTGGAAACTTGTTTTAACGTATTTAGCATGATATAGTTCAATCGTACCTAAAATAAGGCGAAGCGTTTTAAGAGTTTGAAATCATCTGGCGATTGTGTTTTCTCAATCTGCAGACTAAAGAGTTACGAATCATCTAAACACTTTTACATTAACTCTGTTTTCATGCATAACATTACCAAAAGTGCGGATCAGTGGTGACATCTAGTGAATGTTGCAAATTTGCATTTCCTCAGAAAAGAAAAGAGAGATACGCTGTGTATAGGATCTATTCAATATGAATGGTTTAGCGCAGTGAATGTTTGTCCTGCATATAACTTTTTTGTTTCTACATATACACGTTTGGAGGGATGTTTAGACAAACTGTAATTACAAACAACAATGTTCATCAATTTTAATCAAACGGCACTCAAAAAATTGCTTTTTAGTGCTTCTCACTGAAAATGACAGTAAATAACGATGCACCATAGTGTGATAATGTGCCATAACATTCGACAATAAACGCATAAAGCGGTGTGATGTGCTGTAAAATAGTCAGAAAAGTAATATAGCCTAAATAGTCATTATCTCACTTGTTTCAATTATATATTACAACACAAGACGCATTCAGTTGAATTTTATATATATAAATACCGTTACATGATTTCAAAA